ACTTACGGGGCGTCATCTTGGCACGAGCCATACTGTAGGAAACCAATTTAATCCAAGTAAGACCACTTGATCAAAGTCTAGAGAGCAGCTATGATGGATTACATTCCTCAAACCGGACTCACTACTCAACTCCGGACTAAGAGGTGAAGGAAGTAACGAGTGAATTATTCATGATGCATGAATCGTTCTTTACGAACAAAAACATCAAAGTTTATAATGCACATAAACAACTTTTATTTTTTTATATAGGGCATAGTAAAATTACTACTCCACCACACAAGACCCTTTTAATCAAATAAGGAATGGTGAGAAAGAAATAAGACAAGTCGAAGCAATTTGGACCAAATTAATCAAGTTAAATTTAGTCATCCCAAATCATTTTGAAGTTTTTGTAAACCAATACCACAAAAACTTTGTAACGATTGCTCGATACCATTACGTGGCGAACCTCCTAAATTATAGGACCCATATACATTTGTCCTTGTCCAAAGACCTTTGACAACAATGCATATGTTCACGGTAACTTAAGAAGTCTGTCGGGTATCCTCGGGAACCCGAATCATCCACGATTTCCGAAAGCGTAATCACGTTCTGAGTCATTGTAGTATTACAACAGTTTATTCAAATAGACACATCGAGGAAAAAAAGTAGCGGCGGACTTACAATAACATAGTTTACAAACCATTTATTTCAAACCGTACAACTAAGTTCGATATTAATACAAACCAAAGTAGTGGAGTGGCATTATAATATAATACAAAACACACAATGAGGCTGCCTCGCCCAAGGGCCATACTGATACTTCTCAACGTCATCACAAGGTACAATCATGCAAAGACGATCCAAAACAGATCCGCTCATGAGGCTCACCGCAACAAGGGTCAACGAACCACGAGTACAAAAGTACTCAACAAGACTTAACCGAAATAAGAACCGATAACTTTCGGAATGCAGCTCGTGGATTCAAGGTATGGTTTTAGCAATAATCAAAGTTATTTTTGCGTAAAAGCTCTTTGACAAAATTCTTTGTTTCAACAGTTTAAACTTCATAAAATCATATACAAAGATGACACGATCCGTAATGAGATCATGAAACTTCATATCCAACACCTTCATCAACCATTCTCAAGTTCCGATTTATTAATTACTACGATGATGAATAAAGTGAGTTGAGTCTCCATAACCGAGGAGCAATGGCGATTCGAACCGATTATAAACCCGGTGGGATTCCAGACCACCACGACATATGCAGGTCCCACGACCTACATATACCAACCTATTCTCGGATCCTCTAAAACAAGAACGGGTCCGCGCCACCCGAGAATCTGAAGACTCCACCAATCCAGCCCATTGCCACGTGGGTACACGCTATTCTCGCCATCTCTCCACTCCCAAAGGCATGAGTAGCCATTCTCGTAATAGAATTGCCAAGTTCAGGGCTTACGGAGTATGTGGTTAGTACTATAAATTCTCACCTCATGCAATTCAACAACGGACGTGCCTTTAATCGACACAGCGAAAAGATCCCGCTCACAAGACCTCCATGTCTTGTGGCTCACACACACCGAGTCCGCCTTGGGTCTAGATTTATTACTCCACATTCCCATATCACATGCTAACATAATTAACCAATGTTCCATTTAAAACTTGCAGGTGGCAGGTAGTCACCGACTTCATCGTTCTACGCATAGCTAAGCAAAACTAGGCATATACGAGTTCAAAACTGGTTATATGGTAAATATGGAATAACAAGGGTGATAATGCACCAATTAGGCTCTTACTTAACTCTTAATCACTTAATGCAAGATGCGGAAAGCAAAAGTGAAATTAATTTGTAAAACACAAGGTAGGGTTGTATGCATCCGGGCTTGCCTTCGTTGACGGAAAAGTCCGGCTCCTGCGACGTTTCACAAGTCTTCGATCCGACCTCAACAGACAGATCAACCTCCTCCGCAACTTGATTAACTACCACGTGTTCACCTTCATTTACTACACGTAGTAACATTGCCATGTTTAACATGATGCGAATATGAAACATGATGCTCGATGATGGATGCAAAAATTAATAAATTGGATACAATTTTTCCTTCGCAAAGATCTGATTACAAACCAAACTAACCAAACCATATTCAGAATCGATGTGACCACGCCAAAGACCGATCACTTTGGTGAACTATCCCACCACTATGGTGAACTATCCGACCACTACGGTGAACTATCCAACCACTACGGTGAACTATCCGACCACTACGGTGAACTATGCGGAGCAAAGATCGTCGGTGAGGAAGAACCGCGATCACTGATGATCAAAATGAGTAAACAACAATCGACTAAGTACTACAAAGATCGTAAACGGCCGTAAGTACACCGATTACGCACAACGGCTCACCGAAGGGCTCGCCACGATGACACGCCCCATAGCGGTGAAGTTTCTTCGACCGCGAGGAAGAAAGGCGTGATGCATGCGAGTTCTCGGCAATTTCAGCGACCAATGTTAGTCATTTGGATTCGCAAGGAAAAGACGGAACTAGGACGGCCTTTACCGAGATGGCAGCAAGTATACTGGGAGACGATGCGAGCTTGTTGGAGCGATGACAACGGCGGTGGTGAAAACAAAGGAAGAAGAAAAACGCAGCGATGACGACGTCTTGATACTTATAGCGCGCGCAGAAACTCAAGGAAGCCACGACGGAGCCGTTTCCGTGCCGGTAGCGACATCAAGGACGGCCACGACGCTACTGGAACGCCGAAGAAGGTCCGACGGCAATGTAAGCTTAAGCGGTGAACAACATTCACAGAAATTACAAAATTGCCATACGCCAAAATTCACAAATTACTCTCAAATTTTCATAACAACTCAAAATCTCCAAAAACAAAAGTTGTTCAAAATCGAAAGTTCTACAACTTTGCTTCTATAACCATCTCCTAATTCGGTCTAGATTTTGAAATGAACTTTTGAATTTGAATAGGGAAATTTAACGAATTACGCCTTTTTGAATTACTCAAAAATTTTCTAAACAACTTGAAAAACTCCAAAAACAAACTTTGCATAACTTGCCAAGCTCTACACTTTTTCTTTTGGGATTAACCCCAAATTATGCTTAAATTTTGAAATGGATTTTCAGGGTAGGATTTAAATGCTGAAAAGCGGGGTTTTCTCGAAAAATTCAAAATCCAAACAAACTTTGAACTAGAGTCAACTAATACAATTCAACACATACCACATGAATATAAACTTGTTTTAGTGTATGCATCTCAAAGTTTTCACCAAATGCCAAATGCTTTGCAATGCATATGATGACATGTCAGGTTTTAGTATTTTAAACACCCGAGGTGTTACAAGCGACCGCCGCCAGTTCGTCGTGGATGTTGTGGAATAATTTTCCTTCAGGTCCAGCGGCTGGATCAAGTGGATGCGAGTAGTGCGAGACGAGTGTGGATCGGTTGCGGCAGTGAACGCAAGTGAGAACTCGATGCCATCTCCTCCACTCCTCCAGCGCAAGGGTCGCGGCCCACGTCTTCGCGCCGCTCTCCTCCAGTACCGCGGCCGTGCCCAGGCGGCGGACTCGCGCCGCTCGACTTCGCGCCGCGGCCGTGTCCGAGCGCGGGGGCGTGGCCCTTGTCTTCGCGTCGCTCTCTAACTCTCGGGGCGAGCGGCGGGGCGACCTCAGATTGGGGAGCGGGCGGCGGGGGTGGCGCTCGGCAGCGCGGCCTGGACAGGGTCTTGGACAGGGACGAGGACGGGTACGGGGGCGGCGCTCGGCAGGGACGGGAGCGGCGTCGGCGGAGGAGCCACGGCATCGGGACTCGGGGCTGGATAACAGGGCAGCCAACTATAGGCAGCAGGGCCAGAGGCACTGCACGCGGCTGCTGCCTGTTGCTGTCGTTCGCCTACTGCCTCCTCGCGCTGACCAGGCGCGCATAGCGCACCGGCGGACAGGCCAAGGGGGGGGCGAGGAGGAGGCGGAGGGTGGCCGCAGCCGCGCCCTGCTCGGGCCAGCCGCCGTCGCTCTTACCCGTGTCGGTACTCGGGAGAGAGCGAAGAGAGGAGAGGGGGAGAGAGAAGAAGAATGGAAAAGTCAGGACATGATTTCTGTAAAGTTCGAGGGCTTTTTTGAAAAAAAAAACTGAGAGGAGGCCTGGACCGTGGGTTGAATCAACTAAAGTTCGAGGTTTTTTTAAAAAAATGACATGGGCTCGCACGATCTGGCCTGTCCACACGGTTGATCCGATGGCCGGGAAAAGCGGACGACGTGGCCACGCTGCTTGGCCCTGTTTTGGGTGCAGGATTCCTATAAGAAGATAAGATGGTCAATATCCATTGGATATCCGAGATTTCTTAATTTGGATATATTATATATATATATAATGGGCATGTTCGCTTGTCTGAATTTCGGAGTAATTTGGATGGTTTGGAGGAATGCTGGAGGAATCTGTGAGAGAAAAATACTGTCCAGATGAAAAAATAAACGAAACAAGCCGGGTTCAAGAGCACGTGAACGGGGCCAATATCGGAAAGAGGCTAGCTAGTTAGTTAATTAGCAACTAGTTGAAGACTTTGACTAAAAATTAAACTACCTATTAGTCCAGTTTAAATAGACCATAGTAAAAAATAATTCTCAAACACGCAAAAGACTCGTGCGTCTTTGCATTAAGCTTGAAGGACCACAGTAAAAATTAGGTGACTAACAGTTAGTTGTATGCATCAAACAAGCTCTATATAGGGAGTCTTTGATTAGGGATACATGGAGCCAAATATAGGGAAGTCATTAGAGATCACACTCCTTTGGATCTTAAAAACAAGTATATTTTGCACTCTGCAGTGGCTATTTTCAATCAATAATTAAACAATTTAATTGAACTAGCTCTAAGCTAGCAGAGACACTCTTAGCATTTCACAAATGGAAAAATAGGACCCTGTCGGGCCACACGTCACAACAAACTCGACTAACCGAAGTTGTTTCCAGATTTGTTTTTGTCACGCGCCCCCGCCCGCCACCATGTCGCAGGCTCCGGAGGTCGCCGGAAACCCGTACACCGCCGAGCTCGCCGCAGCCAAGAAGGCCGTCGCCCTAGCGGCCCGCCTCTGCCAGGTTACTTGGTCTCATCCTAGATCTCCCTCTCTGTTGGCGGCCTGTTCCTTCCGGCATCCACTCCCTTTGGTAGTTTCTTCGTTGGTGCATCTGCTCGGGCATGTCATACTCATACCAAGTTTATGTGTTTAGAGTTTTGTTGGATGGATAAGATTTGTTTAGTTTCTAGATTCGTGATGAATCCTTGTTACTTGCACTGGGGAAAAGACAGGGCTCTAGTTCTTTCCAGGAAAGATGAATATATGCTTGGTAGGAGGAAATATGCACGAAATGCATGATGCTTATTTATTGGCCACATTGAAAACACAATCCCTGGCTGAAACACTGAAGCAGTTAGCTCAAGTTGCATCTTCTGAATTGTTTTTTGTTTTTGTTTTCGTTTTGTTTTTGTTTTTTTTTTTAACAAGGCATCTTCTGAATTGTTGGAGCATCCATTGGGGAAAACATGGCAAGCTTCTAGGGTTGAGTCTGTATTTCTGGGATAAAAAACTGTGACAGAAATGGGGGAGTCATTCATGACTTGTACCTAGCATGCTATTGTTCTCTGATGCTAGATGTGGTGACCAATTTGACATTTGGTATTGAGATCAAGTCACTGACTGAATCATTTTGCTCTAGTTTCTGTATTTTCTTGGACTGCATGATTTCAAATTCCCATTGTATTTACTTGTTTCCTCTTCCCCTATGTTTCCCAATGTTTCTTCAGAGAGTGCAGCGGGGCATCTTGCAGTCTGACATTCAATCGAAGGCAGACAGGACTCCTGTTACAGTCGCGGATTATGGTACATGAGCATATTAAAACCGTTATAATGTATACAAGAATGTGGAGAGCATGTCTATGATATGTTCGCCATCAGTTGGAGCCCTCTCGGAATGAAAACTATACATGTGGCCTTCTGCTTATTCTAAACTTTTAATTGAATTGCTACTCTTGGTTTCACGACCAGGATCACAGGTATTGGTATGTCTGGTCCTGAAGAAGGAATTGCCTTCTCACTCTTTCTCAATCGTAGCTGAAGAGGTAACCAGCACATGCTTCACTTTGTCTTGTTATTGTACACAGATCACATAAGCATTTTCCTGTATTTTTTTTGCAAGTCATTTTCCTGTAATTAATTGGTTAATTATAAATTTGTACTCTTACAGGATTCAAAAGACTTGAGAGAAGATGGTGTCCAAGAAATTCTAGAACACATTACCACCCTGGTAAATGAAACCATCGTAAACGATGGTTCATACAACATGTCGTTATCCAAGGAAGATGTGCTCGCTGCAATTGATGGGGGTAAATCTGAGGGAGGTCCATCTGGGCGACATTGGATATTGGACCCAATAGATGGCACTAAAGGGTGAGTTTGATAACTTACACCTACTAATTTCATGTTTTACCAACTAATTATAGCTTATCTCGTAGTACATATACTCAGGTTCTGCAAAACTAGGCCTGCCAAATTATACTAGCATACTTAGTGTTATCCTTTACCATTGATGTACAATTTATCTCTGGTTTCCTAGTTGGAAGTCATTACACCAGCATGGAGTCATGGAAGAACTTTACATGGAAGAGAACAGTGATATCCCTTTTTTTTCTGCAAACTAGATGCATCAGATGACTTGACTTATTAACGATGACTTTATATGATTTGATCTATTTGTTTTGTATATACAAAATGCAACAGCTCACAGAGTTGAAATTTTTACTAGTACCTTGCATTGCTTCTCCATTCACATACCTGATTAATTATGAAATGCATAAGATTGATAAAGTTGAATTTGGTTTTTGGAGATGATTTGAAGAGGTAATAAGAGTTATTTCAATTGGTGCCATTCGATCAAAAGCTATTGAGTGCAGGACCTTCATTTAATATGCCTTAATGTTTATTTTAAAAAAGATTCTTATACTGAAAAATTCGATGCAGTTTCATAAGGGGAGATCAGTATGCAGTTGCACTTGGACTACTTGATGAGGGCAAAGTTGTTCTGGGTGTGTTGGGATGTCCAAATCTTCCATTAAAATCAACAAACAAGAACAATGGCAGCTCTTCTGGGGATCAAATAGGTTCCCTCTTTTTTGCTACAATTGGTTGTGGAGCGCATGTTGAGGCCTTAGAAGGATCTGAGCCACAAAAGGTAATCAATGCTTTTGATTTGGGCTATGAATATAACTATTTCCAATTTCAGAAGTTCATATTTGTTTGATGAATATAACCACTTCCTGTTTTTGTAAATTCATTTCTTTCTTATTTAATATTTTTCTTTTTCTAACTTACATTTTAGATTAGTGTTTGCTCCATCAATAATCCAGTTGATGCCTCATTCTTTGAATCCTTTGAAGCATCACACTCCAAGCGTGATTTAACTAGCTCCATCACAGAGGTTGGTCCTTAATTATTATTTTCTTTGCCCAGAGATCTCGATTAATTATATAAGTGAATCCTTTGTTTCTTATGTAATTAGAAACTTAGTGTCCAAGCTCCTCCTGTTAGAATGGATAGCCAAGCAAAATATGGTGCCCTAGCACGTGGTGATGGTGCCATTTTTATGCGCATTCCGCACAAAGGTTACATAGAAACAGTTTGGGATCATGCAGCTGGATCAATTGTTGTCACAGGTATGGAATATAATTCTATTATGGGAGACAATTAATCAACAACTTATAAAAGATCTATTTACTAAGACCCCCCTATCTGTTGTTTGCAGAAGCTGGTGGCATGGTAAAAGATGCCTCAGGAAACGATTTGGATTTTTCCAAAGGTAGATATCTTGATCGTGACAGAGGAATTATTGCAACAAATAAACATTTAATGCCACTGGTTCTAAAAGGCGGTTCAAGAGGCTATGAAGGAGGAACAGTAGGCTGCTGTGCTCATGGAGCAGTTGCAAAATTTGTTATGAAATTTCCTGTTTGAATCTTAATGTTAGTTTTGCACAATCACAATGTGCGGAAAAGTATAACAATCCTGTTGTACTTGTACCATATGCTGTTATATCGTGTGAATCATATGTCAGTCACATACTCACATGTCCTTATCTCAATAAATGGATACGAATTTATCTAATTGGACTTACCATTTTCTATGTGCATTTTTCATCTTTATGGATAAATCTTTGTTGAAATTGGTATTTGTAACTTCATACCGTTGGTTCAGAAAAATATTGGAATGAGTCCCACTCTATTCAACGGTAAAAATGATAGATTAGTGATTATGACGTGAGAAGATAAGGTAAAATATGTTTGAGACAGATTTGAGGAACCATACAGTAACAGCATATGCTTGTTGCTGTAAGTTGTAACTACATCTGGGACAAAAGTATAGGCATAGTATGAGATATTTGTATTCTATTTCCGATGTAGTTTGCAGAATATCAGTGTGTATTTAGTATTATTAGCTTGGAAATTTTAGTTTTAGGTTAACAATTGTTGATATGGGGCCTTGAGAGATGAAATTGAAACTCTAGGTCTGATATTCATTGTGTGCTCCAATGATCCAATCTTTGCCTTTTCTCCACCTTAACACATAAACAAGGTATCATCTCTTTTGCCTGGTTTGCTCTACAATGTTTTATTTTTCAAACTCAGTCAACTCTAGAATCTTGTTGGCGGAGTTTTTGCTTTATATGCCAAATTATGACTGGAGGGCATTTAAGTTAGTTAGAATAGAGAATCATTTGAAACAATCTTCCTCTTTGCTTACTAATATTTTATATGCAGCTTTAGTAGATATTATTATAAGGTATGTTGTGCAGGCGATGAAATATCTTAGTATGGCTCTATTTCACATAAATGCCAGCAACAGGACAATGCATCTATGAGCTTGGTGTGAGCATCTGCCCAGTTGAATTATTGTTTAAGAACCTGTTGAATCAGAAGTTTACTGGCTGAATCACTATATTATTTAAAATGCTATGGACCTGAATCATCAATAATTACACAACGATATTGCTCATCTAAGGCCAAGGAAACTAAACGGGTACATCAGTTGGGTAGTCTACAGGGTGCTTCATGATTGTATCCCGCAGCAATTGCTCTTGTTCGCGCAGGTTGGAAGGAATCTTATCGTAAACATCAGTGAAAAGCTCAGTAACTGGTGGTTTGGGCATTCTTTCTGCAACCTGGATGGCTTGAAGAAGCTGCACAGAAGTTAACAGGCAGTTTCAGATGTCATGTATGATGTATCACAGTGTGCTGGAAAGATGAATCTTTGTGCAGTACCTCTTTTCTCACTCTGCTCCTGAGCTCAGATTCTTCAGCATCAGACCACCAGTCATTACCCTGAACCCATTTTCTGTATCTGGAAATTGGATCCCTCGCTGTTCGCCAATGCTCAATCTCATCAACTGGCCTGTACTTGGTTGAATCATCAGATGTTGAGTGATGACCGACTCGATATGTAAGTGCCTGAAATCTCATTAGTCAATACTCAGATTAATTATATCCTGAAGTTTTTGTTTCAGGTAATGTAACTCCATTGAACTACTGAGCACCTCAACTAAAATAGGTCTTCCTTCAGTTATAGCCATTTCTCGGGCAGCATGGACTGCGCTGTACACAGCAAGAGCATCATTGCCATCTACTCGGATACCACGGATCCCATAAGCCTGGCCACGGATAACAACTCCATCACCTGCAACAAGACTTGAATTTTAACACGACATTGCATTGTTCACTTGTAACTGCCATGGATCAGTAAGAAGACATGTTTTATTACTTCTGAACTGTTCAGTAGTCGGCGTGCTGATTGCCCAGCCATTGTTACGGCAGAAGAAGATCACCGGTGCCTCCATAACAGCTGCAAAGTTGAGCGCTGCATGGAAGTCTCCCTGAACAATTTTCATCTGTCAGGAAGGCTGGATATAATGGTACTGCCAAGAAACTGATCAGTGGCTGGTGAGTTTTCATCTACCTCACTTGTTCCACCATCGCCAAAGTATGTGATAGCACATGCGTCCTTTTTGTTCATCTTCAGAGAGTAGGCAGCTCCAACAGCATGAGGGAGCTGTGTTCTGGGAAATAACAAAGAATGAAACATATGTCCTTCACTTGCAAGATCTTTCCGACATGGAAGATATACTTCAGACTTACGCAATAGGTGATGAGACTGTGAAATAATTCAGACGGTTCGACCCATAATGGATGGGCATCTGCCTCCCTTTACCATAGTCCAGCTTGTTCCCAAAGCACTGGTTTGCAAATTCCTGCAGAGTGAAGCCACGCCATAGAAGAACACCAGGCTCCCTGTACTATATTTTGGCTCCACAGATTGCAGCAAAGAAAGGACAATCAATTGTTGGAATTTTTTTTTGCTAGATTAAACTTCAGAAAAGTGGAGTAATTGATGTTGTACCTGAGGCAGCACAATGTCATCCATACTGAGCGCAGCAGCAGAGGCTATGTTGATTGCTTCCTCGCCATTGGAAGTGAGGTAAAACGAGATTCTACCCTGCCTCTGAGCCTCATAGAAGATGGTATCCATGATCTGGAGTGTGACCATCTCGCTGTACATTTTCAGAGCCAACTCCTTACTGACCTGACAAGGGTGAATAACATTAATCTTCAGAACAAATGTCCCTCCCAGCATGTTTGCAGAGAATTTCTCAAATGGGGCGGCGAGCAGCGTACCTCTTGGAATCTACTTCCTGATATAGTTCTGCCGTCATCGTCAAGCACAAGGTAGCAGTTGATCCTTTCCTTCATCGAGTCTGGAAGGAAGTTCATTTCAGCCACAAAGGAAACTTTCCCTCCAGGAAAGTCAACTGCCTGCGAAATTAACGGCGCACATTCAGTGTCCACGTGCATCAGTGACCAAAAATAGTATAATTGAACTGAGAAGCACAGCAGCATCAGTGTAGCATTGGCCTTGGAGGCAGTGGACAAATTTAATCCTATCCGCATTGACCATGCCAAAGACAGCACTTTTTGTTTGTATATAAAACAAAGTGCAGTAAAGACCAGGAGAGGCTCCTAAAAGATTGGCACTAACATTCTAGATGAAAGCACGTTACTATCTACTACAGCCATCAGCCTATCAGGCAGTCAACCCAGGAAATCAGCAACCAAACCCATTGACCTAAAAGACCCATACATCCATATCTGCTTTGTTTACTAATTGTTGTCAATTCTATCCACAATTGTGCTCTGTGACTTGTTACCTTCAATCTTCACATAGCGTACCGCGTACGTACTCGTGGAAAGAGTTAGTGACGTGTCCGAATTTTGGACTGAGGAAGAACGTGAAGAACACAGATGGGAGTGGGGGGAAAAAAACTTCAGAAAGGAAGGAGGCACCGGGCTAGATACCTAGTGCCGACAAATTACACCAATCAGGTTTCAGGTCAGGGACAGGGAGCATAGAAGATGGGCAAAAGATGCCTTATCTTCTCTATATCTTGTACCAAACTTTATCAAAATCACATGTTAATAGAGCATGCCATCTGCTACTCCTGGATGCAGTACCCAGGGTTCATCTTTCAGATTCCACAAAGGCAGAAGATTTGCAAATCAGGAATGAGCAACCTGACCCAATCAACAGTTCCAATCCAGTTGACACACACGGATTATACGAATACTGGTACAAATCAAGAAGCATGTTTTACACATGGTCGACGCATACCTGCTGATCGCTGGCGACGAATCCGTTCTCCGGCTCCTCGTCAACAGCAGCAGCAGCGCTGCTCTCCCCTGCGAATCGCCGGACGGAGCAGAAGCCCCGGCGGCTTGTCTCCACCGCCGGTGATCCAAGGGCCGGCGGCGGCACCGCTCCCAAGAACCATGGACTGGTGGGTTCGCCGGAGCCGTGGCGCCCAGGAAGCCTCCTCGCGGCACGGCGCGCCAGCTGGGACGACGCTCTCGCTAGCCAGAGCGCTGCCATGTCAGACTGACACACACTGTACGTGCTCTGCTTGGCCGAGCTCCAATCCTCTGAGATGGCAGCTCAGCTCGAGAGACAGATTTATTTATAGGTGGCCGTGTTGGAATTGGATAGAGCTAGACGACATGAGGAAGCAAGCAAGAGAAGCGAAGCCAGCAATGGAATGCAAGATGTGCATGTGAAAGAGAGGGACGGACACTGAGCTGGAAACAATGGCGTAGGCAGGATTTGCAGCTACGGTGCGGTCCATTGTCTAATTTTTTTTAACCGCTATAAATTTAACACGTTGGTAAAAGAAGTACATGAATTGTAAAACGCAACAACAAAAAAAGAGGACATATAGAGTTCATATTACGTGCCCGTAATAGTTGAAGAACAATACGGCACTTCTCGTCAGGCTTGCGTCTTTCAATAGCCATGAAAGTGTGAATGATCTCCATCACTCAATTGTAAGAAGATATCTCGCTTAATAAAAATTAGTACACAATCATCTAGGAGGCTATCACCCATCTTAATTATTTTTTGAAGAAGAGAGGCAATATCACCACTCCTCTTCATATTTCAGTAAGTCTGTAAGAGAATAAAATATTATTTTAATTTATTATTCCAATAATCAATTGACATAAAAAATCCTATCCTACAATTAAAATTAAATAGTTCAATGTCACCGTGCACTAATCTAATGACACAGAATAAAATAAGATTTTCTGCACGAGTTAGGGCATTCTGCGTTCAGCGTTCCTTCAGACTGGGAGAGATTGGGAGTAAAAAAAAGCAAACCTGACTAAATGAGCGCTAATTGGAGACCGGAGACGTACCTGCATTCCCATCTGCTGTCGCTCACACCCTCTGGTTGCTCGTCGTCCGGCGCCTGCCGCCGGCCCGCCACCGCCGCACGTCCGCACAACACAGCAAGGGATACGAAGGGGTGTAGACCGGCTGTATTCGCGAAGGGTCACACGACGCGTATTGGCGAAAGGCCGTAGACGCTCCGATGTATTCGATGTTTGGCTGCTCAGGATCCAAACTTCCTGTATCTA